TTTGCAGTGTTAAATTAAGACAGTTGTATTTGGCGGATCTTCGAATTGAATTCAAATCGAAGTGTACGTTACATAAAGGACGAATTACAAAGACAGAAATATTGGTCTCGAACGGTGACATTAATCTTACAGTTATGCATTACCATTGGACGGAATGGCAAGATTTCAAGGTGTGTCCTCGAAGAAGCTAGCTTGACATCTTGAGATTTTACATTAGGAACATGATTGGGTTTCTAACGGTAGTTGTGGCTAGTGAAGCATACAGGAGAAGTCTAATGTTAGTTGTTGCATACGGGAGAATTAACAAATTCATTGACTGTAATGATCAAAGCAAGATCAAAATTACGGAAATGACTTTAAAAACCCGTTCAATCATCAGTGGCTCAAATCATTTCTTTCCAAATTCAGTCTCTATCAAATTTCTTCATTATACATCAAGGAATAGAGCCGATGAGATTAGGCCACTGAATTGAGGTGTTGTGTGTTATTCCAGTTTTATACCGCAACAAAACAAGTAAGCATAAACAGAAAACATTGCTGCCGTGAAACTTAATGATCATGGAGAATTTTGAATTCAAATCACCTAAAAAANAAAAAATGTCGTATGCGATTGAGTTAAGGTACCGAATGACGACTTCAAAACACCATTCTATTTGTTACAAAAGTCACGTGCTTCACCCACATGTACAGTGGTGCACTGTAGTGGTGGAGTGGGTCGAAGTGGTACTCTAGTGGCGATTGAGATGTGTCTCATGCAGCTAGCCGCCGGACGAGCGTTGGACGTCTTCGATATGGTTGCTTGTCTTCGACGCAAACGAGCCCAATCCGTTCAAACAAAAGAACAATATCTTTTCATTTTCAGGTGTTAATGACTTACAATTACTGGGATTAGATTCGAAAATCCGTCTATTTTGAACGTATCCATTAAAAAAACACATTCATAATCCCAGCATCAAACACTCTCATAACTGAACATTCATAAGTTGTCTTAGAAGGTATGAATGCGTGTGTAGGCATATCATAAGGATTCAATTCATCACCGAAATATATCAAACGAAATTTTGACTGAAAAGATCAAAAGCCAAGTTCCAAATTCGTCATTGGGCGAGAGCATCGTTGTGCGCTTTCTTGCTTAATCCAGATCGACAATATCTCCAAAATTCATACGTAAATCAGCCACCCACCAGTTTATGCTCTGTTCCTTACATATCATTGTCCCCATCATAACGCCATCAATTTCAGGGCGTTAATTGATTTTGCTGTCAGTAAAACGATGGTATCGAAACGAAAAGTACAACCATTCATCGATAGTTATAAGCGATATTCGGAATCAAAACAAACTCGGTAGAATATGAATATGGAAAGTATACAATATATATGTTCTTGCGGATTACCTATATTCAGTAGATCACTTGTCATGGATGTACATGTAGGGCTATATTTGTGTGTGTTTGCGTGTGATTGCTTCATATCGCATTCGAGTGAATGAGATTCATCTTTAATAAATTCATTTTATTCGACGATCTCCTCTGCTTCCGAACA